ATATATAACATTTCTGTAGTTTGTTGTTTTGCAGCATTAAAAAACCACTTATTTTATGTTTACAGTAGCTGCGTTTCCATTGATCATGAAAATGCGCAAATTAAAATTTCGAAAATAAATTTGCTCAATGGAAACACGTCAATTTAAAAAAAAATTTTTCCACAAAATGGTTTTGCACTAGGATGAGGTGGTTTTTCGGCCGTATCAAAATTGGTGTTTTTCACAAAACTGCAAAGGAAACACTTTTTTCGCATCAAGGGAGTCACGTGATCAACAACCGGCTGTTTCTACTGGCGAAAAAGACGATGGCGAAGAAGATAACAGGAAGTAGAAGTAGTAGTAATATCACAGGAGCAGTAAAATAAAGTAGTAAACTCACTGACTACAATTTCCCAAAAACACAGCATACGTAGCCGCTCCCAAGTAGGGGCTTGTCGTTGGAAAGCCTCCATAAAACACTCCGACGTCTCCTCTGACGATGAGCGCTAGTGTCGCGGTAGCAACATGCTATGTGTTTACATCCGTTGCCGCCATGTTTGTAATGACTTATCGCGAGAACAAACATATTCACGCATGATTTTGATAGCATTTCTTACTTAATGGAAACACCGCAGTTGCGAAACTGTTTTTCGACATTAACAGAATATCGACAAAGTTTTGCGCACATTTGCAATGGAAACGCAGCTGACTGCACATGAAGTAATAAAATTACATTAAACGTTGCATTTTGTTTGATCGAGTTTTTTAGATTTTCAGCTGTGACTGTGTAACTGTATTTCCTTTAGCCTGAGCTCTAAATGCTTTCAGGAGCTAAAATCTAAAATTAGGAAACAGCATGTTGAGGAAAATATCTTGAAATATGTTAGTATTTTTCTCCCCTCCCTGGGCTTCAGTCTTCATGTGAGCAAGCTCAGAGATGGCAAAGTTTGTCTAAATATAACTTCTGTAGACAACATGTAGGGAGGGCAGATACCCCTTTACTCTAATGTCTGTGTGTGTTTGTGGACAAGGACTGTCTCTGTCTAATACATGTTTATGTTTGCATGTGTTCTCTTTTAAACTGCAATCCTCCAGTGTTTTCTAATTAGGTGCCTTTGAAGTGTTAACAGAAATATTTCATCATTTTATTTGGACGAATGTAGAATTTATCGACAAAAAAAGTGTGCCAGAGGTTATTTTGAAATTCACTTTCTCTGGTTTCCTTTAGTTTTGCAATTGTTGTATCTTCTGATTTAGTTTAAGTTTTTTATGGTGTTTTTTTGAAGTAATATTTTGTGAAATAGTTATGAACAGTTATTTGTCATAGAGCATAATGTATGGAAAAAAGGACGAAAGTCTTTATCTAGTATTGACTAAAGGTTAGCTAAAGAGGGCCAGTTGTTTTATTGTTCTAAAACAAGGGATTTAAAAAAATGATAAGATTTAAAGTAAGTCTAAGAACATTCATATTGTTGTGCTGATGTATGCTGAGTGTATAAACCATATTTATAATAATCCTTTGATCATATCACTTGACCAGGAGTTGAGGAAGTTTATGCACTGACTGAACATGCTGATAAGGCAAACTAAACAGATGATGTCATACAAAAATGTATTGGCTCATTAGCTATTGTGATTTTCTTTCACACTTGTATGTCATTTATGAGAGATCCTTTTTATAAGCCTGAAATTAAAAAAAAGTTTCTTATTTGGTACCCTAGCCTGGATGCGTTTATTTCCCATACTTCGTGCTTCATGACCGACGTCACTGCTGATATGGTGCAAATTAATGATTTGACATCACTTAACAAATAAATGACTGGACTTTCTTTTTAAATACTTTTCCAGTTTTGTGTTTTTGATTAGTTTTTGTAACATTTCTGTTTGACATTCAGCTGATCTGCATTAATCATCATCATATTTTCTACAAAGGATTTTTTCTTCTTCTAAACACTATTTATTTATTTATTTATTTATTTATTTATTTATTTATTTATTTATTTATTTATTTATTTATTTATTTATTTATTTATTTATTTATTTATTTATTTATTTATTTGTGTGGTGGGGGTGGGGTTAACCCAGCATGTTTTAATCACATCCTTTGTCTGAACTGGATGGATTTCCGGACAGCGTGCCCCAGTAACCACCCCCTCTTCTGGTTGCTCAGAAAAGAATAAAACTGTGTTTGCATCAATCGTCTTGAGCCTGAATTTCGTCTCCCGGCTACACTTTTCCATGTCAGTGTGATTCTGTATGGCAGCAGTTCAATATAAACCCCTGAGTTATTTACTTCAACACACCATGAATGAACTATAAAATCAATAGGCATCAGCCGCTCAACAAGGAGCTAGAACAGCAGCAATTACTTGCTGTTGCTGTAGAAATGTGTTCCCTTCTTATTTCTCAGTTATTTATGTAGCATGAGTTCTTTATTTATTATGGCCCACTTTATATATTAAATTTYCCTATGTTTATATAGTCTGGTTAAATGTGAGTGGGCAAATCAGTGAAGCTCACTGGACCAGAGGGCAGAGGGCCTCATAGTGCTGATGATCCTGCATCCATCACAATACAGTCAGTTTGAATTTAGTCTTAAACTGGTAAGATAGACAAGGTCACAGTCCAGTTGTAATTCCCAGTTAAACCTCAGTGACCTATGAGTAGAAATTTACAGTTTAAACTGAAATAGATTTCATGGCAGCATATTTTCATATACAGCAGAGCAATAATGTTACTTCTACAGGATTTTAGAGGTAATATTCTGAATTCATAAAAAATATTATTTACCATGACTTTTTTTTTGTTTCCATTAAACAGTCAGAATAAGTTAAAATAGGTGGATTTTTGTTAATAAGTAAGTAGTTGATGGATAAAATACAGAAAACCTTTCCAGAGTTTGGTCATTATCAAGAATCAGTGTCTGAGGATGTTTTTTTTTATAGCAAAATGGTTTTAATGTTTACAAATCAAGAACTTGCTGCATTAGTGTTGTAAAGACTTTGTCAAAGCACAGATACAGGAAAAATCATTGATTTGCTGCATATTTGTCTCAAAATAGAAGATTTTTTTTTGATATAAAGTACACAGTATCTTGAAATCCCATAAATATTTACAATAAAAAATGTATATTGTACACAAATATATGATTGGCCTTTGAAAACACAACAGGTCTCATCTCTGATGTGCATAACGATTCTGAAACACAACAAAACTTCACAAGTTATGACTGCAGGTCATCAAGATTCAATTCAATTCATTTATTTATTCGTTTCATTTCTTTAAAAAACAACAAAATTTATGTACAATAAAAAACACAAACCACAAATAAAATGAAAGGCGACAGAAAGAAGAAAAAAAAACTTATTTCTGCGCCTTTTTTCTCAAAAAATAAATTTAAACAATAATGATCTACAAACAAAAACTAAACAAAAAAAGATCTCTTGCAGTAAAGTACAACACTTCTCAGCATGTATTTAACATTTTCATAATTAATCTGTTTGGTCTGAATTAATTCCATTGTAGAGAAATGTTTTTTTTTTAATCAAAGTGTTTACAAGACAGTGTTTTAATAAGTAAACTGTTGAAGTTCTGTCTTTTTTTTGCGCTGCTGACATCCCATCTTTTATGTTTTCCTTTGTCTTTTGAACGAAGGTTTTACTGGGATTTGACCATGTTACTGCTGATGGTCGGCAACCTCATCATCATCCCGGTGGGCATCACGTTCTTCAAGGACGAGCACACGCCGCCCTGGATTGTGTTCAACGTGGTCTCCGACACGTTCTTCCTCATGGACCTGGTCCTCAACTTCAGGACAGGCATCGTGAAGGAGGACAACACGGAGATCATCCTGGATCCGCAGCAAATTAAAATCAAGTACCTGCGGAGCTGGTTCGTGGTGGACTTCATCTCCTCCATACCCGTGGACTACATCTTCCTCATCGTGGAGACGCGCATCGACTCAGACTTTTACAAAACAGCGCGTGCTTTGCGGATTGTACGTTTTACTAAGATCCTCAGCTTGCTCCGGCTCCTGCGGCTCTCCAGGCTCATTCGTTACATCCACCAGTGGGAGGAGGTGAGAAATATCATGTTCATTACTGAAATGTTGACTGTTGCTCTGGTTCATGTAAATGATGTGAACTTTGTGTTTGAGTTAGTCAACGTATACATATGTTTACTGAAATTCAAATTGCACTTATACAGTATTATAGGATGCTAGTGCAAGCACTGTTGCTGCTTACTTTTCCTTTAACCCCCCCATGAAGGAAATATGGATCTACATAATTTCTGGCTGCATTCAGATGTGACAAAAAAAAGAGAAAAGTGAAAAAGGCTCTTTTGTTGTTCACRAGTCACCAATATGTTGATGAAGCTGGGATGTTGATTAGCGTTTTCTCTCTGCGTGCCCATCCAGAGAGCAGTGGGACCACAGACCCCAGAGAGGCGATGCTGCTGTACAAGCATGATTATAATTGCAGCAATAATTAGAAAAAGTTCCCATTGCTCTCACTGGATGGTTTGTTGTTCATTTTCAGGGGTAAAAGGTTTCGGAGTGAAGCATCAGAATCGCAGCTTGGCGTCAGTTCGAAAGACACTCCATCAGGGGACTTTTGTGTGGGCAGCGCTGTGAGGTCACACAAAGRAATGATGGAACAATTACAAGAATGAGAACTTTGTTACAAATGATGAAAAACACTTGAAAGCAACAATTAAGACAATTTAAATGACAGTCTTTTGTTTCAGACTGAAGAGCAGGGTTGTTAGGGTCTTGATAATTTTCAGATAATTAGACTGGATGATCATATTGGTCCTAGCAAGGACGCAAGACTGCATTACTGCAGCAAATTCTGAGCAAGAATATATGGATTTTAGAGACTGTAGTATATTTCTTAACCAGGAATCCATTTATCAAATGATTCCTGAATCTACTATAATAAAAAAACCTACCAAAGTTTGTTTTACACAAGTTTTTTTCAAGAAACCTCTATAACAAACACCTTCAAGTCATAAAGTTGTATTTTAGTTAATGCTAAAGAAAGAGATTTGAAGAACATTGCATTTAATGTAAAAACAAATATTTTGTGTTTACTTAAATATTTGATTTCCAAAACCATAAAAGAACCATATTTTGAACTTGCCCCAGTATTTGCCCTTTTGGCTTTATTTGGCTCTAAACAAACCACCTTTTCAAATGATAATCAGTCACTAGCAACAAATTACTAGGATTTATGAAACAATAATCAGGAAAACGGATACAAAAACAGCTCACTTGACTGTTTATTATGAACTAACTGTTCAGAGAAAGTTACACTTAACTTTTTTTTTTTGTATTGAACTGGCTAGACAGCTATCAGAAACAAAAATGCCTGTGTATATCATTACAGTAAAATCTGAACAAATTGAAATGCTAACTGATTGCCAATCAAAGCACTTAAATATGCAAAGTCACCAAAGTTGCAGGTTTTCCAAAAATTCAGCAGGCAATCTGGGTGGAACGGTAGATTGAAGTGTGAAGCGCGGTGACATTAATCATGCAGGACCTCTCTGATGACATTTCAAAAGGAGGAAAGTTCAAATCAATCACTGGGGAGGAACCCATGCCTCTTTGTGACGCCACGCAAACCTGCTGAGCTGAACGGAATATTAGGGAATAGGATTCTGGTAAAACGTGCATTTTTTATGGTGTACATAGTGAAATATTACATATTTAAATGAACAAGGAAGTTACGAAGGGCAGAGGGAACTGAAAGCCAAAAAAAGAGTAATAAATAAAGAAAAAGCTCTCTATAGCTTCTAGCCACATTCTTTTGTTTGGATATAATTAATCACCACTCAAGACTTGTGCTTTGTTTCAAAAACAATACACAAAAAAAAAGGACTGGAGGAAAACAAAGAGCTATGATTCATATTCATAGTATTAAAAGAAGAAAATACAAGGACATTATAGGACAGAGAGGACTCTTAAACTGACACAACAAAGGGAGGGACTATATAATATATTCACCATTTGCATGTTGTATCCCTGGGTGTTGCGTGTTTTTCAGACTGCGTGTGTGAAAGTTCTGATAAATGCTGGTAAGGCAGACGGAGCGAAAGGCCAGCCCTGCCTCAGCACCACAATACTCCACATGCAACCTCAGAGAAATGTCATCTGTCACCACAGAATAACTTGCTGACAAGATCTCGCCACGTGTCTGACTTTCTGACTTTATCTGTAAACATCACGCCACAAATAATATGCATGCATGTTGTCAGCATTTGCATGTTTTGGCCCACACTTCACACTGCTTTGACTTCCATCTGTTCATTAACATTAATAAACACARGGAGAAAATTATATTAGAATGCTACAGACCTGGTAATGTTTTATCAGAAGAAGTTCTTACGGAATTAGGGCAACCTTGCATTGTAACCTAAAACGCTGCGCAATTTATCAGTTTCGTCTTTAAATGCAGTTTAGTGTTGTCATTCTGAGTATCGGCTCTGCAGTGAGATGTGACTGCAGAATCCTCAACCCTGTTAAATAAATGCAAGGTAAAAAATAGCTCTGTAATAAAAAAAACAGCTTCTTTTTCTGTAATAAGTCACAGAGGGCAGGTCTTCTGGGAAGTGTTAAATGGCATTCAGAGGACTTGACTGCAAYGTTTCTAAACTTAACACAAACAGTAAGGAAATTTGTGTTTGGCAGATTATTTCTAATTTGTAACAATGCTTCTTGGCAATAAATTTTATACTGTTGGAAAGCCTGTCAATTTTTCTTTTAAATTATGCCGCATTTGTAAGGACCATGCATTTGTGGGAGGAGCAGTAGAGCTGAGTATGTGGGCTTGCGCACATGAAACGTTTGTGAAATCCTCTCTGACAGCGCCAAACAGCTTTGGTGGGCTGGATGATTGGAGTTTGAAGAAACAAGACGTGTTGGCAATTTAACAGTTTACTCATTTAACAGTAGCATGTGAAAGAACCATACACAGCCACAACAGCCTGGCACCTCCTCTTCATGCTGGTCATCAACCTGGTCACACACTGCTGTGGGATGGCATCCCGTTCTTCAACCGGCATTTGTCACAAGTCAGCCAATGTGGTTGTGTTGGCCACTCTGGCACAARCAGCACGTTCAAGCTGATCCCRCAAGTTTTCGGTGGGGATGAGGTCAGGACTGCTGGCAGGCCAATCCATCCTCTCAGTGTGTAAAAATGTGTGYGAATGGGTGAATGTCTGTAGTGTGAAGCACTTTGGGGTCTGATAGGGCTTGATAAAGAGCTATATAAGTTCAGACCATTTATCATCCACTCGCAAATTCTGGAGGTAGTCTCTGATAATCTAAACTCTGTGGGGGTGAGCGTTGTTATTTTGGAGGACAGAGTTTGTTCCCAGACTGTTGACATATAGGATTGCCAATGAGGAGTCAATCAGGAACTTGAYTGGGTGCTTCCAGAAGCTACTCAGCTCTACTGCCCATCCCACAAAAGCATGTTCCTTACAAATATGACACCATTGTTAAAGGGAAGTGAACAGTAACAGTATAAGATTTATTGCTACAATAATAAAAAAACGAATAAATTTCCTTATTTTTTGTGCTAAGTTTAGTTACAAAGTTTAAAAAAATGAATCATTTCCCTCTGCTAATAAAGTGCAGGGAAGAAAGTTTTTATTTTTAGGAACTAATGATAATTTTTTTTTCCAAAGGCGGTCAACCTAATCTTTCTCTGCTTCACATCCTCTCAGTAACAGCAGTAGGTTGTTCTGACACACCATAAATCTGTTTTATAATTCCTTTGTGACAACACGCACACACACACACATACACACAAACACACCAGACTGCACTCGGTCACAGAGTCAGYTTAGAGGAAATAACATTTCTAGGAGACATAAAGGTGCTGACTGTAATTGATGCCTTCATAACGGGGAAATGGGGGGGAATGTTATTGTCAGAGGTCACCTTAGTTTTGGTTTTAGTAAAAGCTTCTACAATAGCTCAAGGAAAACAAAATTACAGTGTTTTAGCATCTACATATGTGCATGTATKCAAAGTGTTTTTTTATTTATTGGTGAAATCTGGTCTTTGAATGGTTTAGCTGTTGATGCTGACTTTAACTGCACATCCCTGAAGCTGAGACGTGTTTGCACATAACCACAAACTGATAACGCGTCCTTGAGGACGATTCTTGATAGCTGAACAACTCCACTGAGTTCTCCCAGAAAAAGGGCAATGCTGACWGCAATTCAGAGCAGAGCTACGTGTCTGTATGAGCTGTGATGGAAGGTAGAATAAATGGAATTTAAGTCAGTCCAGTTTCCCTCAAGCAATTTTACAATCTGACTCTTTTAGCATCTTTCAAAACCTCCAGGACGATCGTTTAAATAAAGTAACATGCTGCAGCCTTCCTAATACAATTATTATTACCCCTTTTTATCCATTCTCCACTAACTCGATCTGTAGGATTTTTATGAGAAAAGCAATGTCCTGTTTTCTTATTACCTTGTCAAATCATCCAGCATGCTCTGTTTTTATATCAGCTATCATAAATTTCCTTTAATTGCCATAATTTCGTTCCAAACTCWCCAGATGTGTGTTCTTACACCCTGCATGTTGACAGAACGGTGTTTACAAACAAGGAAGTTTTAGTGGCGGTGGCTTGATGCCATTGCTAACACTGTCATGCATCACGGCGTTCAACATGGTGTGCCCACATTAGGAGACTAACACAATAACACACACATGCACACAGAGAAAACAGACTGTCATTATGCCTCTCCCCTGTCAGTTTCCTCTTGTCACTCTTCATGTGGATAAAAATAAAACTGTGACCGGATATTCTCCTCATCGGAGCTGTTGACTTGGGTGAGATTAGTCATCTCGTTACATCAGATTCAAGGCAGTGTACTAATGACTAAGCTCTAAGGGGTTTTCCTCCCATCGCGCCCCGATGCCCACAGCAGAACCATCTCAGTTGGCCAACTCAGTAAATGTTGCTTTTAGCGCAGATGGAAGAAAGTTCGTGTGACAAGACATGAAAACAAAGCTAAGCAGTGGCGATGGTGTGAGAACAAAAAGATTCTAGAAGACTG